AGGAACAAGGGAAAACAGGAGCTTTTCCCCGTGGACCGACCCGTGACGAGATCCTATTCCCGGGCCCATAACAACTTGGTATCAGAGCCTACCGTCATGGAAGATCTGGAGCAGCTATCATCCAGGGTCCACGAACTGGAGCATAGGCTCGTGGAAACTAGCGTGGAGGTTCGTGAGGTCAAAGACGATGTCCGGGAGCTGCGACGCTTGCTGGAATCGTATTTCTCTAACAAGGAGAGGAATCCAGAAGGGGCTGTAACCACAAACAGCCACCGACCAGACTTGACGGAGTCGTCCGGCGAATAGCAGGTCGTTTCCCCGGTAGTCGCGGTCGTTCCCAAGTACAGCAGGCTGGAGTTCCCTTCATACAGCGGCGCCGGAGATCCTTTGGGATGGCTGTATAGAAAAGAGCAGTTCTTCCGCAACCAACGGACAAGGGACATCAACAAGGTAAGCTTGGCTGCATTCCACGTGACGGAGGAGGCCCAGCTCTGGTTTTATAAATTGGAGCAGGAGGAACCCGGACTCAGTTGGACCCAATTCAAATCCTACTGCCTCCTCAGGTTTGGGCCCCCATTGACTAGCAACCCGTTGGGTGAACTGATCAACCTCAAACAGACGGGAATGGTGGCTGAAAACCAGTGCCAATTCCAGACCCTCCTTGCTAGAGCAGATTCGGTACAACCGGACCAACAGGTAGACATGTTCACCGCAGGGTTAGCAAAACCCTTGAGGGTGGATGTGGAGATGCAACACCCCCCCAACCTGGTTACAGCCATGAATCTAGCTCACGCCTTCGAACGAAAGATGCAGCTCAACCGCGGAACCTTCAGTATGGGGCGGCCTCCAACCGCATGGGCATCCCCAGAACCACTCGGAATGGCTCCATCTTCAGCAGCCAGCCAAGAACGGAAACCATATCAGCATCCAGTGAGGGGAGCAGCGTTGTTGCACCCCCTATTAAGCACTTGTCCAGGGCTGAGATGGCGGAACGCAAGGCGAGGGGACAGTGTTTTAATTGTGATGAACTCTACTCAGCAGGGCACAAGTGCAAGAGATTTTTCTGCCTCCTGGTGGAACAAGAGGACGATGAGGATGAACCCCCTTCATTGGAACCCGATCCAGGAGGGCTAAATCATTCCACCTATCCTGGATTCCCTTGACTGAACTCCAAGACACATATCCAGATTTCGTGCTTGAGAACAAGCTCGTAGTCCAAGAGGGGAGTAATGTTATGGACGCATTCGGGGGGAAGAAGTACCGCCGCCGGCAGCAGCAGTAACGTGGGACCCTCATCAGATTATCTAGCTAGCCACAGTTCATCTTACCTTATCCTTATCTTATCTGCTTTCTTACTCTTATCTTATCTGTAAGCAGTTTAGTTAGTCTTATCTAGGAGTCTTATCTATCTTATCT